TGCCCACATCTGTACGTCCCGCTGTCTGTGCCATGGAGTCTGTACGGCCTGTGAGGGGCTGATATTGTTACCCACGCCCTGCCTGAGGGGCTCTGACCTGGCACAGCCGGACGCGGGCCCCGGGTCTGCCCTCCCCGTCCTGGCCGCCCAGGCAGCCGCCCCCTGAGGCCCAGGACGGACTGCTCAGCTGAGACACGCACACGTGTACTGCTGCCACGGGCGGCCTGGCAGGCAGGTGCACAGGGGGAGACAGAGTTTGCAGACACCGTCCCCTGGTGGGGAAGGCTCAGACCCCAGTTTCCGGCCGCCCCCCAAAGGCACAGCCACCTGATCGGAGGATGGGGCGGCCCGGGACCCACTGCAGCGACTCAGCGGGTTTTTGTCTCACTTCCCCACAGGCCTGGGGCACTGTGGGAGCATTTAGACTTTTGTCCCATGCCAAACAGTAATAATCAGCCTCGTCCTCAGCCTGCAGCCCCGTGATGGTCAGGCTGCCTGAGCTGCCAGAGCTTGGAGCCAGAGAATCGGTCCGGGACCCCTGAGGGTCGGTTGCTACTACCATAGATGATGCCTTTGGGGGACTTTCCTAGAATCTGTTGGTACCAGTGCACATAGTTATTATTCCCAATGTTGGAACTGGTTCCAGTGCAGAAGATGGTGACCCTCTGGCCCGGAGTCCCAGACACTGAGGCCGGCTGAGTCAGCACAGACTGGGCCCAGGATCCTGGAAGAGGGGGAGACACACAGAGGGTGAGTCTGGGTCCGGAGACAAGAGGAGGAAGCAGGGCCCATGTGTCTTCCCAAGGCCCCTTCCCCTGCCCCCTATCCAGTCACCTGTGCAGTGAGCCAGGAGGGTGAGGAGGAGAGGGGCCCAGGCCATGGTGGAGGTCATCCCTGAGTCCTGCCTCCTGTGCCCACAGCTGAAGCAGAGCTCCCCACCTCTCTCCCTGCCCCTCTTCATAGTCTGCGGGAGGGAGGGCCCACTCATGCAAATGAGACCCCATCTATTTGATCCTCCCTGGGCCCTGGGTGGGGTCCCTGTGCCTGAGGATGGCAGGGTGAGGGCAGGGGTGGGGCTGTGTGGGGCCCAGGGGTGGCAAGGTCACAGCTGTGAGCCCTGAGCACAGGGCACCAGGCAGGGCCAGGGAACAGGCTGCAGCTGTGATGAGCCCAGCCCTTCAGCAGCGGTCCCTGCGCGCCCCCTGGTGGCCAGGCCTGGACGCACCACTGTGTCCCCTGCTGACTAAGGCCCAGGAGGGACAGTCCTGCCTCCCCCTGCTCTGGGCACTGACCCCCTGGCTCAGGGCATCCAGGTGCCCCCTGAGGTGGCCTCCCCGTCCCCTCAGGACACTCTCTGCTCCACTCCGCCTCCTCCTGGGAGTCGGGGCCCGTCTCCCTGGCCGGTCACGGTCAGACCTGAGCTGCTGTCACTCAGTGAACGTTGTTCCTATGGTCAGGTACAGAGCAGCCTCTGTGCCCAGGAGTCAAGTCCCCACATTGTCAGGACACGGTTTTATTTTTCATGTGGTTCCTCCCCCGTTCGACATTAATCACTGTTTTTCTAAAACTCAAAACATATTCGTTCCACGGCCTCCCCTTTTGCCCAGTCGGTAATCCATACTGTGGTTAACACGTGCTTTTGGGTCAAGCTTTGCCTAGTGACTGGCCTCCTCATTCAGTTGGAAATGGCATAAATACTTCACACTCAGTCTGTTTTATCTCCGGCGGAGACGTGCATTAATGATTTTTTTAGTCACAACCGAGTCACTGTGATCCCAGCTCCCGGATAGGAAGGGGACGGGACGGATGGCACCACCAAGACCAGGGCCTTGTGAGGGGGACACTGAGCAGTGAGTCCAGGTGACCATGGAGGAGCACTTCCTGGGATGGGAGCAGAAGGACATGCACCGGGCTCTGTGGGTCAGAGGTCGTGTGGGGGGCCCCTGGGCCTGTCCTCCCCTGAGGGAGGGGCGGGAGGCAGAGGCTCCAAGGAGAGGGGGCAGCGTCTCCATGGCAGCCAGGAGCCCGCCTCCCAGGGCCTCCCTCTGGGACAGGGGCCAGGCTGTGGGGTGGGTGCTGCTTTCTCACTTTCCTGGGGGACCTGGGCCTCAGGGCATGGCCCCCTGAGGGCAGTGGCTGTGGCCTTTGTTGGACCTGAATGTGCCCGGACAGTGGGGAGCTCAGGGGCAGAGCTGGTCCTGGTGAGGCAGGAGCTGCCTGGCGGGTTTCCCTGATCGGTTTCCAGACCCAAATGCGCTGGTGATGAGGGTGGGGCCGAGGGAGGCCCAGGGGCCCTTAGGGAACCTTCCCGCCTCTGTTTGCTCTGATCCGGACCCACCTCCCAGCCATGGGGCCACAGGGATGGAGCCCAGGTCCGGCTCCTGGGAGCTCAGAGGTCCCTGGCGGTGTCTGTCTGAAGCCGATCGTTCTAATAACAGAGCTGTGGACGGGGAGTCCGGAGGGCTGGTCAGCCTTAATCGCTCTGCAGGGTCAGAGCTAATGACTAGACATTGGCAGCTGAAGCATCCTGACCTGTGAGTCCTACACGCACTGATTGGCTGTGATTGGAGTCTCCTGCCCAGGGGATACGGGTGTATCCTATCATTTTAATCTTAATAAAAGGGACGGAAAAGCCAGAGTGAGGAGTAGTCCTCCCACTAGACATGGACTACGCCTAACCCCCATTTCCCAAATTAAATCTGTTCTAGAGTCTCTTTTCCTTTGTGTGCGGCTTCTCCAGAACCCGAACCCTGAAACCGAACCCAGCTGGTGCCCTTCCCGTGGGTGTGAGACAGGCTCCTGCGGGGTCAGCTCACCTCAGGGAGGGCGCCCCGGGCTCTGGAGTGGAATTGATATCACTGTGGGTTTGCACTGAGCTGCATTTTTATTTCTTAGAGAGAAATTAGCTCAGTGACATGGATTCAAGAAATGGCATGTGGAATAGATTAGGAGAAGCTGTGGAAACCCTGCTTTAAATCTCACACACATCCTCCCCGAGTGGGGCGGTGACAGAGTGTCCGTGTCCCTCGGCTCTGAGCTGGGAGCAGGCGGCCCTGGGGGATCCGGTCACAGAGGAGGGACGGGGTGGTCAGTGTCATGCCGCCCAGGAGTGCTGAGTCACGGTTTGGAAAGCGGGGACAGGGTGACCCCGTTGCATTAGGAAACCAGGAAGAGAGGGGGAGGGGGTGTTGAGCCCATGGAGACAGACAACGGGGAGAGCGGGGCCCCTGGTTCACATCACAGGGACAGGGAGCCCCCGTGGCCCAGCAGGAGAGGAGGCAGGTGGCCCCCCAGCTGCCCTGGCCTGGCGGCTCCTGGTGGCAGCGGGTTTATTAAGTCACGTGACAGCCTGGAGACCTGGGTGGTCACAGAGGCCCTGTGGGCCGGGCCTGGTGGCTCAGTGGTTGGGCATTGACCTGGGAACCAGGAGGTCATGGTTTGATTCCCGGTCAGAGCACATGCCTGGGTTTCAAGCTGGATCCCTAGTGTGGGGCCTGCAGGAGGCAGCCGGTCAATGATTCGCTCTCATTATTGATGTTTCCTCTCTCTCTCTCTCTCTCACTCTTTCTGTTTCTCTCCCTCTCTCTTCCACGTATACTTTGCTTAGGGATGTCCTTCTCAACAGGTTCAGCTGTTAGGAACCCAGACTCTGGTGAGGGGGAGGTTTTTGTCCCACTTCCCCATCTGCGTGTGTCACTGTGAGAATCAGATTTTCATCAGGTTACACAGTAATAGTCAGCCTCGTCCTCAGGCTGCAGCCCCGAGATGGTCAGGAGCCCCGCATTGGCCGAGGCGTCTTTGGATCCAGAGAAGCGGCTGGGGACTCCGGAGCCCTGGTTCTTACTGGAGTCTGATTTATATTCCAGGAGATACCGGGGAGGGCTCCCTGGCTTCTGCTGGTACCAGGATATCCCATAAGCACTAAACGAATAGGAAATACCACTCAGGGTGCAGGTGAGTCTGGCCGTGGCTCCCGGAGAGGCAGAGAGGGAGGGTGGCTGGGTCACAGCAAACTGGGAGAGGGACCCTGCAGACACAGACACTTGTCAGTGAGGGGCAGGGACCAGGGGCAGGTTCCCAGGAGACCGAGCAGGAAGGGAAGGAGCCTGGGCCCAGGCCTGGCCCTACCTGTGCAGTGAGAGAGGAGCGCCAGGAGCAGAGGAGTCCAGGCCATGGTGCTCACAGCCCTGAGCCCACAGTGGGGCTGGGCTGCCCAGGCCTCCTTTTCTCCCCTGCCCTCTGCCAGAGGAGGGGCTGCCATGCAAATGGGGTCCCTCCAGGGACTGCCCAGCCCCTCCCTGGGCCGTGGGGCTGCAGCTCAGCTCACACCCAGACTGAGGGGCATGGAGGTGGGCTCCCCCTTTGTGGGTCCCTGGGAGGAAGCACCTGCTGAGACCACACGGAGACTATTGCTCAGGGGGCGCTGCCAGGCCTGAGAGGACACAGCTGCTGAGTCCCCTGCAGGAGCACAGGGCTCCCCTCTGAGGGAATGGTCCTCCCTCAGCTGCACTGTGAGGCCCACAGCGCGGTCCCCCAGGGCCCCCTGCTGGCCACAGGCCCCACAACTTCAGGTCTCTCTGCTCATAGGTGTGTGGGCTCCTTCCAGCTGCTGTTTGTTCCCCTGAGACACTGCGGGGGGAATGCAGTGCTCAGTCCCAGGGCCCTATGAAGTGAAAGGTCAAAGTGCACGTAGGGAACGTGACGACTGGGGGTCACTCTCCATGAAGCTGCTGCAAAGCTGATGCGCAGTGAGCTCCTCCCCCAGCAGCACAGGGAAGGGGCCGGGGGCCGGGGTGCAGGGCTCAGGGGGCCGCTCACTCCGTTAGCAGCCGGTCTTATGGGTTGAGGGGCGTCTGTCCCCTCTGGTCCCTGCAGCCACACGATCCTCAGGCGCGGGGCCATAAGCCTCAGGAGGCACAGGGCAGGGTAAGCCCCAGGCTCCTGTGTCTGCGCTGACACCACAGCCTGTGTCCATGACCAGGGGAACACGCACATGTCACATGGGATGGGTCAGGAGTCACACAGGGTCACACACGTGACAGGAATGCGTGGGGAGCATTTCTGTCTGGGGACCCTCTGTGGGTGCAGACACAGGGTGTGAGATGACAGGAAACACACGCTGGTCCAAACCCTGGCCCGGGCACAGGCTCCTGAGACCCTTGTCACTCCCTGGGGGGCAGGCGGGCCTGTGGCCGATGAGGGGGCGCTGGGCGGGCTCCTGGGTGAGGAGGGGCCACGGGAGAGGCCAGAGGATGAGAAACTGGGGAGCCCCTCACCTGCACCCCATTCCATTAAAGGGGAGAGGGCTCAGGTGCAGTTAGCTAATGAATATGGCACCTTAATGGAGATCACGGGCGTTTTCCTGGGAACCTTTGACCACAGCCCAGACTTGGGTCAATCCTGGAACCTCCTGCCTGTGATTGGCCCCTGATGTGCAGGAATCACGGGGACTGGCCCTTTAACGGCGGGTCTGACCCCATCTCTGGGCAGATGGGTGAGCACTGAGTGCTGTTGGGGGACATCAGCTGGAGTCAGAGAACTGCTGTAGGAGAGCCACTCCGCACACATTGGGGCCCCGAAGGGCCAGGAGGGGAGAGCTGGGGGGGAGGAGCAGAGCAGACAAACAAGGGGAAAGAAGGGACTTTTATTGACAAATATTCACTCAGCCCAGCCAGCCCGGGTCAGGGTGGGGCGGTGGCCTGTTTGCCAGGAGGTCACAGTGGGTCCTGGTCGGGGCCATGGCCGGGCTGCATTCTCCATCCCCAGGAGGAGGCGCTCAGGGGCAGCTGGTCCACGATTCTCCTCATCGGTGTTCATATTCCCTCTCCTTCTCCCTTCCTCTCTGAGATCAATGAAAATATGCTTTAATTTTTTTTTTAAATAAAAGCCTCCACTCAGTGTCATCAGCTCTAACTGTGCTCATGACAGCATGCCGTGTGCTGAGGTGAGAATTACACCCTCACGCACAGTGAGAACACAGTCCGTTCTCAGCAGCTGTCAGTCCTTCAGGGCAGTGAGGATGTCATTGCTGATCTCAGTGGCATGCTCAGGAGCCATGACGGACCAGGAGCATTCTGGGATATGGCTTCAGTCAGCCTAGACTCCAATGAGGATAAAATGAGCCAATAATAATAATAATGTTCCCTCTTGGTAGAATTCCCGGACACGGGGTGGAAGGCGGGGCTCCCTGACCTCCCGGTGCTCCTGGGAGGCCTGTGCTGCAGCTCCACCGAGTGCGACCTCCCTCCTCCCGGGACACAGGTCCCTGCAGAGGAGCCACCGACAGAGGCCCCAGACGCTCCTCGCTGAAGGAGGCTCAGAGCCACCACCTCGGGGCCAGGGTTTTGGTCTCACTTCCTCGGCCTCTGAGACACTGTGGGTAACGGTAGCTGCTCCCACTGCCAACATCGCTAGCACAGTAATAGTCAGCCTCATCCTCAGGCTGCAGCCCCGAGATGGTCAGGAGCCCCGCATTGGCCGAGGCGTCTGGAGATCCAGAGAAGCGGCTGGGGACCCCGGAGCCCTGGTCCGTAACCAAGTCTGACATATAGAACAGGAGATACCTGGGTGGGCTCCCTGGCTTCTGCTGGTACCAGGATATACCATAATTGTCTACATCGAACCCGCTGCTCAGCGTGCAGGTTAGTGTGGCTGTGGCTCCCGGAGATGCAGAGAGGGAGGGCGGCTGGGTCAGCACAGGCTGGGAGAGGGACCCTGCAGACACAGACACTAGTCAGTGAGGGGCAGGGACCAGGGGCAGGTTCCCAGGAGACCAAGCAGGAAGGGAAGGAGCCTGGGCCCAGGCCTGGCCCTACCTGAGCAGTGAGAGAGGAGTGCCAGGAGCAGAGGAGTCCAGGCCATGGTGCTCACAGCCCTGAGCCCACAGTGGGGCTGGGCTGCCCAGGCCTCCTTTTCTCCCCCGCCCTCTGCCAGAGGAGGGGCTGCCATGCAAATGGGGGTCCCTCCAGGGACTGCCCAGCCCCTCCCTGGGCCCTGGGGCTGCAGCTCAGGTCACACCCCAGACTGAGGGGCATGGAGGTGGGCTCCCCCCTTGGGGGGCCCTGGGAGGAAGCACCTGCTGAGACCACACAGAGCCTATTGCTCAGGGGGCGCTGCCAGCACAGACACAGCTGCTCTCCTATCTGGGCACACAGGACCCAGCCCCCAGGCCCAGGGTCCTGGGAGTGGAAAGTCCTCAATGAGCAGCTGTGTGGGGCCACAGGGCGATCCCACAGAGCCCCCTGCTGGCCACAGGACACACTACATCTCCCTGGTCCAAAGACCTGAGGCCCAACTGTTGTCTGCTGCTCCCCATGTCCCTGTCCCTGTTCCCACATCCTGGTCTGATGGCACAGACACTGGCGCTCACTGCAGCGTCTAATCCTGGCCCAGCCTTGGGAGGTGCCAGCATGGACGTCACTGAGAGCTGATGGTCTGGGGACAGTTGGGAATGCTGCCTCCCACGTTTATGAAGACTGAGCTGTGACCCAGCCCTCAGGGGAGAGATCAGGGTGCTGAGGGTACTCAGGGGGCTGGGGGCGGAGAAGGGACATGAGCTTGGGACACAGCCTGGGCCTCAATCCCATTCAGAGATGAAGGGGCTCCTGAAAGGCATGGCTCCTCCCTCTGATGAAGGGGGTGTTTGCTGGCAATGCAGTGTCCTCTGGGCGGGGTCCTTTGGGATGCGGTGGGCGTGGCTACAGGTGGGCGAGGCTTTGAGGAGAGCAATCCCTTCCTGGTCCCCATTCAATGGCAACACACAGAGCTGAGGACATTGAGTGCCTGTGTGGGTGGGACAGGGGCAGATCCATGGATGGGAAAGCCACACAGGAAACCATCCATGCCTGTTTGGGGGCATTTTGTGTGATCATCAGCCTGGCCCTTTAAGAACATGGGATGGGTTAGACCTGAGCCCCAGCCTTCCTGCCCAGGCCTCTGGAGAAAACGCTGGGGAAGCCCCGGATGGCCTTCCTTCTGGTTCCAGGATGGACCCGCTTCAGAGCAGGGCCTGCACCCACCACAGTGTCCCACAGGCCCTCCTGCCCGAGGCTGCAGGGGCCGCCCTGACCTTGGGGTGAGGACAGTGACCTTCTCTCCTGCAGGGACTCAGCTGAGCTCCTTCAGTCTGTGCTGCCCCTGGGGAAGCTGCCAGCACCTGCGACCTCCCCCTGACCCGGGGGTGCGGTTGGGAGGACAGAGAGGAGATAAGCTCCCAGCCCCCTTTTCTTGTGCTCCCTGAACGAACGCTCTGAGTTGTGATGATGACAATGATGAAGATTCAACGTGGAGACAGCTCCTCTCTGAGAGACTGGGAGCCCAGGAGGGGCCTCACCCCGGGGCTGTGCTGGGAGGAGGCGGGGCCGGGCTGGGCTGGTCAGTGATGCTCAGCCTGGTCCTCCAGTGTGACCAGGGCCTCTGCTGTGGCTGATTGGAGCCCAAATGGAACCAACGCTCCTTTCTGTTTATAATATGTTTTTATTGATGTCAGAGAGGAAGGAAGAGGCAGAGGGAGAGAAGCATCAATGATGAGAGAGGATCATCGACCGGCTGACTGTGCAAGTCCCCCACTGGTTATCAATCCTGCAAACCTGGGCCTGAACCTTGACCTGAACTACAACCCTGACCTCCTCATTCATAGGTCGATGCTCAATCACTGTGCCAACCCGGCCGGGCTGAGCACCCCATGTCCTGAGGGTGTGGCTGTGTCACTGGGTGCAGAGGGCTGGTGAGATGTCACCTGAGCTGAGGGATCCAAATGCCGCCTTCCAGCCAGTGCTGCTGCCTCGGCCAGGGCAGAGGCCTGGCTGTGTGTCCTGGGCCCTGGTTCCTGGAGGAGAGGAGGAGAAGGAGGTAGAGGAGGAGGAGGAGGAGGAGGAGACGAGACACATGCAGAGACCCGTGTGCACAGCAGGGTCCTAATGGATCTGATTCCACCTCCTCACCTGTCTCCATGGGAACCGTTATCCCTGAGGAATGTCACTGTGAGAACGGGAGCATGGCAAACAGGACCTGAGCCGCACATCCATGGGAACGCTGCCCTGACGTCACAGCTGGGACACTGTCAGGACCACAGGTCCAAGCAGAACCGGTGCCAGATGGACACCGACCAGCACAGTCAGGGCTGAGCCAGAACCTGCAGAGCTGCCAGCTGGGGCCCAGGTCAGGCCAGGGAGCAGAGAGGAGGTTTTTGTCTCACTTCCCTGTGGGTCTGCACCACTGTGTGAGTCTTAGAACTATGGCCATCCCATGTGCTACAGTAATAGTCAGCCTCGTCCTCAGGCTGCAGCCCCGAGATGGTCAGGAGCCCCGCATTGGCCGAGGCGTCTTTGGATCCAGAGAAGCGGCTGGGGACCCCGGAGCCCTGGTGCTTATCTGAGTCTGAGTGGTAGTAGAGGAGGTACCGGGGCGGGCTCCCAGGCCCCTGAACATGCCAGTTAACCCAGATTTCACCAATATAGGAGCCACCGGTCAGGGTGCAGGTGACTGTGACTGTGGCTCCTGGAGATGCAGAGAGGGAAGGCGGCTGGGTGACCACAGGCTGGGAGAGGGACCCTGCAGACACAGACACTTGTCAGTGAGGGGCAGGGACCAGGGGCAGGTTCCCAGGAGACCCAGCAGGAAGGGAAGGAGCCTGGGCCCAGGCCTGGCCCTACCTGTGCAGTGAGAGAGGAGCGCCAGGAGCAGAGGAGTCCAGGCCATGGTGCTCACAGCCCTGAGCCCACAGTGGGGCTGGGCTGCCCAGGCCTCCTTTTCTCCCCCGCCCTCTGCCAGAGGAGGGGCTGCCATGCAAATGGGGTCCCTCCAGGGACTGCCCAGCCCCTCCCTGGGCCCTGGGGCTGCAGCTCAGCTCACACCCCAGACTGAGGGGCATGGAAGTCGCCTCCCTCCTTGGGGGGCCCTGGGAGGAAGCACCTGCTGAGACCACACACAGGTACCTGCTCAGGGGGCGCTGCCAGGCCCCCAAGGACAGCAGGGAGCCCACAGTTCAGGCCCCTGTGTGGGAAGGTCTCAGGGAACAGCTGTGTGTTGATCACCTGCAGTCTCACAGCGCCCCCTGCTGGCGGGAGGACACACCCTCCCCTGCCCCAAAGCCCTGAGAGCCCAGCTGGCTGAGGGCTCCCAGGTCTCTGTCCCTCCTCCCACCCCCAGGGTCTGAGCCCAGACACCGCGGTCTGATCCTCTGTTGATCGCAGGAGCAGGGCGCTCTCAGGTGAGCGTCTGTGTGAGGGGCTCACACACTCACCAGCGACACAGGAACGGGGTTTCTCTCCCAGGGAAGATGCTGCCCAAGAAACACACAGGGAGCCTCTGTGCAGGCCACAGGGGAGGGCGCTGCTCAGGGGGAGGAGCTCCTGGGGCTGAGCAGGTCCCTGAGGGAGAGAGGAATGTTCCAGAAATGCCCTCAGGGTTGCATTCAGAGGAGGACCATGCAGCAAACATTTCACACCTTGGGAGGCAGTGGTTCTCAACCTTCCTAATGCCCCGGCCCTTTAATAAGCTCCTCATGTGGGTGGACCCCAACCATAACCTTATTGGCTCCTTCACAGCTGTCATTGTGTGCTGTTGTGCGCTGTGAGGTAGATGTCTGAGATGCAGGGTGTCTTAGGCGACCCCTGTGAAAGGGTCATGGGACCCCAACGTGGTCTCACCCGCAGGCTGAGAACCGCTGACGTGAGGCATTTAAGGTTTCCATGGAGATCTGACCGGACCCAGTGATTCCCTGAAAAGTCAAACACAGTGTGGGGGCCTCCCAGGTCACAGCAGAGTTTGTAGCCTGTGGGTTTATTTTCAATTTTAGGAATCGCCTTTGTATGCCGACATCTGTACGTCCCGCTGTCTGTGTGCCATGGTGTCCGTACGGCCTGTGAGGGGCTGATATTGTTACCCACGCCCTGCCTGAGGGGCTCTGACCAGGCACAGCCAGATGCGGGGCCGGGGTCTGCCCTCCCCGTCCTGGCCGCCCAGGCAGCCGCCCCCTGAGGCCCAGGACGGTCTGCTCAGGCTGAGACACACACACGTGTGCTGCTGCCACGGGCGGCCTGGCAGGCAGGTGCACAGGGGGAGACAGAGTTTGCAGACACCGTCCCCTGGGTGGGGAGGGGGGCCTCAGACCCCGGTTTCCGGCCGCCCCCCAAAGGCACAGCCACCTGATCAGAGGATGGCGCTGCCCGTGACCCACTGCAGCGGCTCAGCGGGTTTTTGTCTCACTTCCCCACAGGCCTGGGGCACTGTGTGAGCACCAGGATTGTCATCATAGGACTGACAGTGATAAAGGGCCTCGTCCTCAGCCTGCAGCCCCGTGATGGTCAGGGTGGCTGAGTTGCCAGACCTGGAGCCAGAGAATCGATGTAGGGACCGAGGGTCTCTTTGACGATTATAATAGATGAGTTTGGGGGCCTTTCCTGGGAGCTGCTGGTACCAGTGCACATAGTTATTATTCCCAATGTTGGAGCTGGTTCCAGTGCAGGAGATGGTGACCCTCTGGCCCGGGGACCCCGACACTGAGGCCGGCTGAGCCAGCACAGACTGGGCCCAGGACCCTGGAAGAGGGGGAGACACAGAGAGGGTGAGTCTGGATCTGGAGACAAGAGCAGGAAGCAGGGCCCATGTGTCTTCCCAAGGCCCCTTCCCCTGTCCCCTATCCAGTCACCTGTGCAGTGAGCCAGGAGGGTGAGGAGGAGAGGGGCCCAGGCCATGGTGGAGGTCATCCCTGAGTCCTGCCTCCTGTGCCCACAGCTGAAGCAGAGCTCCCCACCTCTCTCCCTGCCCCTCTTCATAGTCTGCGGGAGGGAGGGCCTTTTACGCAAATGAGACCCCATCTATTTGATCCTCCCTGGGCCCTGGGGCAGGGCCCTCTTATGGGATGGCCATGTGTGTGGGAGGGGGTTGGGCAGGTGGGGACCAGGTTTGGGGAGTCACAGCTGACAGCCCTGAGCAGCTGGTCCTGCACTTTGTCAGGAGGCTGGTCCAGCTCTGATCACCCCAGAGACTCAGCAAGAAACCCCAAGCGCCCTCTAGTGTCCCGGCCAGGACACAGCAATGAGTGACATGGGGACCAGAACCCAGGAGAGACCACCTCTGCCTTCCCACTGCTCTGCCTACTGCCCCTGCCCCAGGGCCAGGCCAGGGGTCCCTCCCATGGCCTCCCCATCATCTCAGGGCATCTTCATCTGGTTAACTGGTTTGGCTCAGTGAATATAGCGTCGGCCTGCATACCGAAGGGTCCCAGGTTTGATTCCGGTTAAGGGCATGCACCTTAGTTTCGGGCACATCTCCAATGGGAGGCATGCAGGCGGCAGCTGATTGATGTTTCTAATTCTCTACCCCTCTCCTTCTTCTCTGTAAAAATTCAATAAAATATATATATTTTAAAAACTTTACACATTAGACAACACTCACCCAACTTAAAATGCATATATGTCATTATATGTAAAGTCACAATAAGGCTGATTTAAACATTCTAGGAGGAGGCACGTTGATGAAAATTGCGGGTTCAGGTATTGGTGGAAAAGCACTGGAAACGCAGTGCCTTCTGCTCTGGGTGAAAGGTGGGAACAGACGTTTTTCTAACATCACTTCCCATTGCAGGCGGAGGTGGAGCTGTTCGCTGTTGGTCCTGCCGGTTGGCAATCCCCAGTCGCTGCCCAGGGAACCCCGAGGACTTTCTAGGAGCTTCCCTCTGTGCCAGGAGAAGCAGCACCGGCCACAGACCCTGAAGTGCGCCTTGTAACCAGCAGACCCGCAGCTGCAGGTCCCGGGGTGACCAGCCTGGGGGCACAGTGAGCAGCAGACACCCCAGATTCCGATGGTCACAGCACACGGTCCCTCAGCCTCTGGGCCACCAATTCAGGCCATTTAGCTGACAACCACTGGAGGCTGCAGGTGAATAAATCAGTGCCATCACCTGGACTCACAGCTGCCACAGCTCCAGGCACAGACTGCTGGCCGCTCTCCGTCTAGGGAGTTAAGAAAGCAGCCATAGACGTCCACGTGCTGGTGCTTCTGTGGACAGAGGATTCAGATTCAGTCCTATCATTTTATTTTATTTTGAAGGGAGATGTAATTGACATTATATCGGTGTCAGGCGTACACCGTGATGACTCTGTGTCAGTGTCCGTGCAAAGCCGGCTCCAGAATAATGCTCCTGACCTATGCGGTCACCCTGGCTGCAAGCTCGGCTGGTTCTGAGCTGAGGACACTGAGGTCCAGTCCCTCAGCTGCTTCCACAGACACAATAGGACAGCGCCCCCTGCCGGTCCCCATGCCGCCCGTCCTCCCAGAGCCAGGCACTCACAGCCAGAGTTTCTGCTCCTGGACCCCCTCCTCCCACTTGGACCTTCCCCTTCCTCATCACCATGGCAACCCCGAAACCGTTATAGTTTGATCGCTGTGAATGGCCAATTTTTGTGCTTAAAATCACACACAAATCTACACCACAGGTCTCAGGCTGAGCCCAGCAGGCAGCTGCTGGAGGGCTCACCCCGCACAGAGCAGAGGGGTTTTTGTCTCACTTCCCCACAGGCCTGCAGCACTGTGGGAGCACTCAGACTATCGTCCCATGCTGAGCAGTAATAATCGGCCTCATCCTCAGCCTGCAGCCCCGTGATGGTCAGGGTGCCTGAGCTGCCTGACTTGGAGCCAGAGAATCGGTCCGGAATGTCTGAGGGTCTGCTATTAGTATAATAGATGACGGTTCTGGGGGTCTTCCCTGGGAGCTGCTGGTACCAGTTCACACTATTAGCCCCAATGTTGGTGCTGCTTCCAGTGCAGGAGATGGTGACCGTCTGGCCCAGGGACCCCGACACTGAGGCCGGCTGAGCCAGCACAGACTGGGCCCAGGATCCTGGAAGAGGGGGAGACACACAGAGGGTGAGTCTGGGTCCGGGGACAAGAGGAGGAAGCAGGGCCCATGTGTCTTCCCAAGGCCCCTTCCCCTGTCCCCTATCCAGTCACCTGTGCAGTGAGCCAGGAGTGTGAGGAGGAGAGGGGCCCAGGCCATGGTGGAGGTCATCCCTGAGTCCTGCCTCCTGTGCCCACAGCTGAAGCAGAGCTCCCCACCTCTCTCCCTGCCCCTCTTCATAGTCTGCGGGAGGGAGGGCCCACTCATGCAAATGAGACCCCATCTATTTGCTCTTTCCTAGGCGCTGGGTTCGGTCCCTATGCCTGAGGATAGCCGTGGGTATGGGCGGGGGAGGGGCTGTGTGGGGCCCAGGTTTGGGGAGTCACAGCTGACAGCCCTGAGCAGCGAGTCCTGCACTTTGTCAGGGGGCTGGTCCAGCTCTGATCACCCAGATCCCTCAGCAGCAACCCCCCATGTATAGCGCCCTCTCTTGTCCAAGCCCAGACACAGCATAGAGTGCCATGGGGACCAGAACCCACCTCTGCCTTCCCACTGCTCTGCCCACTGCCTCTGCCTATGGCCAGGCCAGGGGACCCCTCCCATGGCCTCCCCATCACCTCCGGGCATCTCCAGGCACCACTCAGCCACGTTCAAATGCATGTTGGCCTGGCCACCTAAGTTCCAGTGTCAGGGTTTGATTCTCTGTCAGGGCACATGCCCAGGTCCTGGCTCCGTCCCCCACAAGAAGGATGTGCAGAGGAGGGGCACACAGGAGGCAGCCGATCCATGATTCTCTCTTATTATTGATGTTTCTCTCTCTACCTGTACCTTCAGTCTGAAATACATTTTTAAATGCATGTGTGTTATTATATGTAAACGTCACAATAAAGCTCATTTAAAAATTCTAGGAGGGCCGAATCCGGTGTGGCTCAGTGGTAGAGCATCGGTCTGCTGACTGAAAGGTCCCAGGTTCCATTCCGGTCAAGGGCACGTACGTTGGTTGCGGGCACATCCCAGGTAGGGGGAGTGCAAGAGGCAGCTGGTTGATGTTTCTTTCTCATCGACATTTCTAGCTCTCAATCTCTCTACCTTCCTCCTCTCTGTAAAATATCAATAAAATATATTTTAAAAAAACAAACCACAAATGTTCTGTAAAAAAGTTATAGGAGGAGGCACGTTGATGAACATTGCGGGTCCAGGTGTTGGTGGAAAAGCATTGGGAACGCAGTGCCTTCTGCTCTGGATGGAAGGTGGGAACAGATGTTTTTCTAACATCTTCCCATTTCAGTGGGAGGAGGGAGCTGTCCGCTGTGCTCTGGTCCTGCCGGTTGGCAATTCCAATTGATGCCCAGGGAACCCCCCCGAGGACCTGTTAGGAGCTTCCATCCGTCCCAGGAGCAGCAGCACCAGCCACAGACCCATGGTCACAGCACACGAGTCTCTCAGCCTCTGGGCCACCAATTCAGGCCATTGTCGCTGACAACCACCGGAGGCTGCAGGTGAATGAATCAGTGCCGTCACCTGGACTCACAGCTGCCACAGCTCCAGGCACAGACTGCTGGCCGTTCTCCGTCTAGGGGAGGGGTGTCGAACTCAATCAGAGAAGGGGCCAAAATCTAAAATCCAGCCTAAATCGCGGGCCGAATGGTTTACTGAACCGTCATAAACTGTCATTGTGATGGAAACGCAGCGGAGTGCAGTGATGACAGCGCGGTGCGGGCCACATTGCAAGGCCTGGCGGGTCGGATTTGGCCCGCGGGCCTTGTGGTTGACACATGTGGTCTAGGGCGTTAAGAAAGCTGCCATAGACGTCCAGGTGCTGGTGCTTCTGTGGACAGAAGATTCAGATTCATTCTTATCATTTTATTTTATTTTTTAATGCAGATGTAATTGACATTATATCAGTGTCAGGTGTACACCGTGAGGACTCTGTGTGGGTGTCCGTGCAAAGCCGGCTCCAGAATAATGCTCCTGACCTCTGCCATCACACGTGGCTGCAAGCTCGGCTGGTTCTGAGCTGAGGACACTGAGGTCCAGTCTCTCAGCTGCTTCCACAGACACAATAGGACAGCGCCCCCTGTCGGTCCCCATGCTGCCCATCTTCCCAGAGTCAGGCACTCACAGCCAGGAGTTTCTGCTCCTGGACACCCTCCTCCCACTAGGACCACTCCCTTCCTCACCACCATGGCAACCGCCAAACCGTTATACTTTGATCGCCGTGAATGGCCAATTCTTGTCCTTAAAATCACACGCAAATCTCCACCAGCCGTGCTGGGTAAAGGGGAGGAAATCAGAATGGGGAGGGAACAGGGCCAGTGGCCCTTCCAGCACAGCCTCAGTGCTGAGCCCCAGGCAGGGGCGGGGCCCAGACCAGCTGTCACTCATCTCAGCCTCACAGGACCAGGGAGTCCAGCCCAGGGGGAGGGACCTGGGCCCCTCGGGTGGGTGGGGAGAGGCCTTCCCTCCCTTCAGCCCCTGAGCCTGGGAGAGCTGCTCAGAGTGACACTGAGGCCTGAGGGGAGGGAGGACCGCTCTCCCCCAGGCAGGGTCCCCGGATGAACCTGGCCCCAGGGCCTCAGCGAGGGAACTGGCAGGAACTACAGGTCTCAGGCTGAGCCCAGCAGGCAGCTGCTGGAGGGCTCACCCGGCCCAGAGCAGAGGGGTTTTTGTCTCACTTCCCCACAGGCCTGCAGCATTGTGGGACCATTGGTACTATCATAGGACTCACAGTAATAGTCGGCCTCGTCCTCAGCCTGCAGCCCCGAGATGGTCAGGGTGGCTGAGCTGCCAGACTTGGAGCCAGAGAATCGGTTCGGGACCCCTGAGGGTCGGTTGCTATCCTCATAGATGAGGAGTTTGGGGGCCTTTCCTGGGAGCTGCTGGTACCAGGACACATAGTTATTATTCCCAATGTTGGAGCTGCTTCCAATGCAGGTGATGGTGATCGTCTGTCCCGGGGACCCCGACACTGAGGCCGGCTGAGCCAGCACAGACTGGGCCCAGGATCCTGGAAGAGGGGGAGACACACAGAGGGTGAGTCTGGGTCTGGAGACAAGAGCAGGAAGCAGGGCCCATGTGTCTTCCCAAGGCCCCTTCCCCTGTCCCCTATCCAGTCACCTGTGCAGTGAGCCAGGAGGGTGAGGAGGAGAGGGGCACAGGCCATGGTGGAGGTCATCCCTGAGTCCTGCCTCCTGTGCCCACAGCTGAAGCAGAGCTCCCCACCTCTCTCCCTGCCCCTCTTAATAGTCTGCGGGAGGGAGGGCCCACTCATGCAAATGAGACCCCATCTATTTGATCCTCCCTGGGCCCTGGGTGTGGTCCCTGTGTCTGAGGATGGCAGGGTGAGGGCAGGGGTAGGCTGGGTGGGGCCAAGGGGGTGGCAAGGTCACAGCTGTGAGCCCTGAGCACAGGGCACCAGGCAGGGCCAGGGAACAGGCTGCAGCTGTGATGAGCCCAGCCCTTCAGCAGCTGTCCCTGCGCGCCTCCTGGTGGCCAGGCCTGGACGCACCACTGTGTCCCCTGCTGACTAAGGCCCAGGAGGGACAGGTCCTGCCTCCCCCTGCTCTGGGCACTGACCCCCTGGCTCAGGGCATCCAGGTGCCCCCTGAGGTTGCCTCCCCGTTTCTTCAGGACTCTCTCTGCTCCACTCCGCCTCCTCCTGGGCCTGAGGCCCCCCAGCCCCTCCCAGCTGAGGGCCTGGTCAGCGGGCACAGGGCTGGGCAGGAGCCTCGGGCCAGGAGCCGGGAGGGAGGGGTCCCTGCTCTGACCTCTGGGCGCGGAGGCCCTGCTCCGGGGACGGGCCGCCTGCTGGGAGGGGCCTGGGCTCTGGGAACAGGTCACACCGCTGTTTCCTTAGTTCACGTCAGACACAGCCATCGCCCGGGCCCTGGTCTGTGGCCCACGGATGACAGGCCGCCGTTCAGGGACGTGGGGACCAGTGGGTGTTGGTGCTGGTTCTGTGCTTCTGAGACGCAGAGACATGGGAGCGAACGGGGAAGGTGACCCATTAGAACCAGAAGGTTCTTCCCCGGGGAGTTTGCACCTGGACGTTATGTTAACTGGGTCAGATTGTGAATCAGACTCTGAGGAGGGCGAGGTTTTTGTCCCACTTCCCCATCTGAGTGTGTCACTGTGAGAAGCACCACTGTGCCAGGTCTTACAGTAATAGTCAGCCTCGTCCTCAGGCTGCAGCCCCGAGATGGTCAGGAGCCCCGCATTGGACGAGGCGTCTTTGGACCCAGAGAAGCGGCTGGGGACCCCGGAGCCCTGGTGCTTACTGGAGTCTGTGTGGTAGTACAGGAGGTACCGGGGAGGGCTCCCTGGCTTCTGCTGGTACCACCATACAGCATAGCTGCCAACATTGAAGCCGCTGCTCAGGGTGCAGGTGAGTCTGACTGTGGCTCCCGGAGATGCAGAGAGGGAGGGCGGCTGGGTCAGCACAGGCTGGGAGAGGGACCCTGCAGACACAGACACTTGTCAGTGAGGGGCAGGGACCAGGGGCAGGTTCCCAGGAGACCGAGCAGGAAGGGAAGGAGCCTGGGCCCAGGCCTGGCCCTACCTGTGCAGAGAGAGAGGAGCGCCAGGAGCAGAGGAGTCCAGGCCATGGTGCTCACAGCCCTGAGCTCACAGTGGGGCTGGGCTGCCCAGGCCTCCTTTTCTCCCCTGCCCTCTGCCAGAGGAGGGGCTGCCATGCAAATGGGGGTCCCTCCAGGGACTGCCCAGCCCCTCCCTGGGCCCTGGGGCTGCAGCTCAGCTCACACCCCAGACTGAGGGGCAGGGAGGTGGGCTCAGCCCTTGGGGGGCCCTGGGAGGAAGCACCTGCTGAGACCACACAAAGGTCCCTGCTCAGGGGGCGCTGCCATCCAGAGTGGACTCAGCTGCTCAGTCCCCTCAGGGAGCACAGGGCCCAGCTGGAGGCCCAGGTATTCTGAGGGCACAGTCTTCACTGAGCAGCTCTGCAGGAATCCCAGGGCCGCCCAGCAGTGCCCCCTCCTGGTCAGGCAGAACTGTAACACGTGGGACAGCAGCTCTGCATTATAAACATTGAGCGAGAACCTCTAGTGAAAACAGATACAATATACTCTCCTTGGAAGATACAGAATTGGCTCTGAAAGAAGTAAAGTAATTGAAAGACCAAATATTAGTAGAAAAAAATACAAAATGTAACGGAACCATCCACTGAGGAGCATAAGATGCAGGCGTTTCACAGGGAACTCTGCCAAACCCTCCAAGATCAGATGGCTCCAATTTAATGGGCACAGATTTTTCAATAACATTTAACAGTAAGTAGCATGTCACAGTGTTTTTGTTTCCATATTGATGAACACAGCTTACACATAAGTTATACAAAATGAGGGAAAACGGACCAATAGCTTTAAATATTCCCACAAATGTTTAAAATGAAATATGAGCAGATGGCCCTGCACTATTATGACGTGTGATTTATCCCAATGATACAAGTTTTATTCATATTAACAAAATTTTAAATGTAACACAACATAATAACACATCAGTAAATGTGATCATACCGGGGGCCCCGTGCACGGAATTCCTGCACCAGGGGAGGGAGGGTCCCTCAGCCTTGCCTGTTCCCTCTCCCAGTCTGATGGGACCCATCGGGGGATATCTGACTGCCGGCTTAGGCACAATCACCTGCGCCAAAGTCAGACATCCCTCTTACAGTCTGGGATCCCAATCTCAGTCAGGCACCCATTACTCTATACCACTCGCCTCCTCACTGCTCCTTACTGCTTCTACACTGACGGGGAGGCTCCCGTCACTGCCCCGGAGCTCGCCAGCTGTGAGCCCAGCTTCTGGCTGAGCTGTGCTCCCCTTGTGGGAGTGCACTGACCACCAGGGGGCAGCTCCTGCCTTCAGAATCTGCCCCCTGTGGTCCCTGCTCATCATAGCAACCAGTCATTCCACCTTTTGGTGAATTTGCATATTAGCCTTTTATGATATACGATATATAGCTCACAGTATTAGATCAACAGACAAACTCATATTATCTCAATCGATATAGTGACAGAGCCTTTGAGGAAATCTAAAACATATTTCTAATAAAAACACACGGATGGAAACAGAGACGTTTACAATATGGAAACTTCACTCTCTCCACAGACAGAAGGCTTACTCCCACACCAGCATCTTAGCGAATGGGTGGGGTTAGCTAAGATGTTAAGACATAAGATGTTAACCCCACACCATCAGGAACCGGCTGTGTGACTGACACGAAACGATGAGTCAGCATGACTCTGCACGTTTAGAGGATGCAGGGGAGCAGGGGGAGACCAGTGGTTAGCCCTCAGCATGGATGGGGTGGACAGCAGTCACGCCCAAAGCCCCAGGCCTGAGCCAGCCCAGCCACGGGTCCCGGCCCAGCAGTGACGAGGGAGCCCCCGGGGGAGTGTGGTGGGCACAGGGAGAGCAGCCTGGCTCTCGGCCTCAGCCCCGCGATGGACAGGAAGCTCCTCCCAGACCGGAGCCCGAGGGTCCACCCCAAACCCCAGGGGCCCCTCCACAGAGGAGCTGTGGGCAGGGCTGCTCCTGGGCACTGGGGGGCCCCCTGGTGGACACTGTGCATGTGCTCCACTCAGACCCAGCTGGACCCCGGGGCCTGGGCTGCCCTGACCCAGCGTGGCCTCTGCCCAGGGCAGTCTGCCCGGCACCTGGAGTTTCTGCTCCATTTGAGAAATCAAGGCTGGAGGGGAGAGGGTGGGAGTGAAAGGATGGGGACAGGTTTTCTGAACCAAGTTCACTGAATGAGTCTCAGGCCCGGGTCCAGGCAGGCACAGGAAGCAGCTGGCTTGTCGGAGGAGTGGGGTCTGCTAGGGAAGCCCTGTGTCAAGAGGGACAGCAGGTTTTTGTCTCACTTCCCCACAGGCCTGCAGCACTGTGGGACCCTTAAGACTCTTGTCCCATGCTGAGCAGTAATAATCGGCCTCGTCCTCAGCCTGCAGCCCCGTGATGGTCAGGGTGGCTGAGCTGCCAGACCTGGAGCCAGAGAATCTGTCCGGGACCCCTGAGGGTCGGTTGCTATCACCATAGATGACACATTTGGGGGCCTTTCCTGGGAGCTGCTGGTACCAGGACACACTATAACCATCCCCAATGTTGGTGCTGGTTCCAGTGCAGGAGATGGTGACCCTCTGGCCTGGGGACCCCGACACTGAGGCCGGCTGAGTCAGCACAGACTGGGCCCAGGATCCTGGAAGAGGGGGAGACACAGAGAGCGTGAGTCTGGGTCCAGAGACAAGAGGAGGAAGCAGGGCCCATGTGTCTTCCCAAGGCCCCTTCCCCTGTCCCCCATCCAGTCACCTGTGCAGTGAGCCAGGAGGGTGAGGAGGAGAGGGGCCCAGGCCATGGTGGAGGTCATCCCTGAGTCCTGCCTCCTGTGCCCACAGCTGAAGCAGAGCTCCCCACATCTCTCCCTGCCTGTCTTCATAGTCTGCAGGAGGGAGGGCCCTTTTATGCAAATGAGACCCCTTCTATTTGATCCTCCCTGGGCCCTGGGGCAGGTATCTATGGCTGAGGAGGGCCCTGGGTGAGTTCAGGGTGGGGCTGTGTGGGGCTAGTAGCTAAGGGACCACAGCTGTGAGCCCTGAGCAGGGGACCAGGTGCTGCCAGGAGGTTGGCCCCAGGTCAAACCCCACAGATCCCTCAGGAGTGAGCCCAGAGCGCCCTCTAGTGTCCAGGCCCAGACACACCATTGAGTGACATGGGGACTAGAACCCAGGAGAGACCACCTCTGCCTTTCCACTGCTCTGCCCACTGCCCCTGCCCTAGCGCCAGGCCAGGGGTCCCATTTTGTGACCTCCCCATCACCTTGGGGCATCTCCAGTCTGTACTCAGCGTCCTCAGGGGGAGGCTGACTCAGCTGCTTGGGCTGGTCAGGGGTCAGGACTGAGCTGGGGTCTCTGACATAAACTCTAGAGCAGAGTCAGGTCCAGAGCAGGGACCAGCCCCATGGAGGCGTGTCCCCTTCTGTGCAGGACACGGGGTCTTTCCTCTCTGGGGGCTGGGGGCCTCCTTCCCCTGGATCCCAGGGGCCCCTCCCTGGGGCTGGGCAGGTGGTGGGGAGGGGCCCCGTGTGCTCTCCTAGTCCGTGGTCATGGTAACTTCCGTTTTCTGTCAATATTTCCCCCCTGACACCATCGTTCTCCAGAACCGTGGGCTGAGGTCACTCCTAGGAGTCTGTTCTCAACACAGATGTTGGCATTTATCTGAGAGGAAAAGGGAAAAACAGAGCAGAAAATTCTAGGCAGAATTTTCACATTTCTGTGCTAGGGTTTTATTTTAACATTTTACACATTAGTCACCACTCACCCAACTTAAAACGCATGTATGTTATCCTATGTAAAAGCCACCATGAGGCTGATTTAAACATTCTAGGAGGAGGCACATTGATGAACACTGTGGGTCCAGGTGTTGGTGGAAAAGCATTGGGAACGCAGTGCCCTCTGCTCTGGGTGAAAGGCGGGAACAGACGTTTTTCTAACATCACTTCCCATTGCAGGCGGAGGTGGGAGCTGTCCGCTGTGCTCTGGTCCTGCCGGTTGGCAATCCCCAGTCGCTGCCCAGGGAACCCCCTGCCACCCCCATGAGGAGTTTCTAGGAGCTTCCATTGTCCCAGGAGCGGCACCGGCCACAGACAGAGTCTCCGGGACAGAGCGGAGTGGGCTCCAGGCTCGTCTCGGGCGGCACAGCGACCGTCGCTGCCCCTGGTCCAGCTTCCTCAGGACACAACGGGCCCCTCAGCCGCCCAGCGGCCCCGGCCCCCTGGTGCCCAGTGTGTCTGGCCGTGGCTCGGCCTCTGAGGCATGAAAAGGCACAAAGACGAGAGGGGTCTGATCCCTGGTGTCCGGGCCCCGGGGGCCTGGGCTGGGGCAGACACTGGGCAGCAGAGGCCCCGCCGGGCGGGTGTGTCCCCAGGGGGACGCCCTCCCAGTGGCTGGGACCCGGCCCCAGCGGGCAGCGGCCCCACGGGCAGCCCGGCCGTCATCCTCTGCATTCGGAGGGCGCGCTTCCCGGGTGGAGAGAACAGTTCATTTCTGCTGGTTTGTGCCACGAAACTCAGATTTCAGGACTCGGGCCAGAACCCTCTGTCAATCCCTCCTGGACCCAGGGCCGAGCTTGGCCTGAAGTGCCCTGATTTTTTTAAATAAATTTTCATTGTTCATGTTATTACAAATGTTCCTTCCTCCCCCCCCTCCATTGCTCTCCTCCACCAGGTTCCCACCCCACCGTCTGCCCTTTCCCACCCCCCATTGTCCTCATCCATAGGTGCACAGTTTATGTTCAGTCTCTTCCCACATCCCCCTCTCCCCTTTTCCCCAAGAATCATCAATTTACTCCCCTTCCATACCTCTGATTCTATTATATTCAACAGTTAATATTGTTCATCAGATTATTTTTAAAATTTCCTTGGTGTTTAGATTCACTTGTTGATAGTTACGTATTTGTTGTTCATAATTTTTATCTTTATTTACTTTCTCTTCCGAAAGAACCCCCTTCAGCAATTCATATAATTCTGGTTTGGTGGTGATGAACTCCTTTAGCTTTTTTATTATTATTATTAGTGAAGCTCTTTATCTGGCCTTCGATTCTGAGTGAAAGCTTTGCTGGGTAGATTATCTTTGGCTGTAGGTTCTTACTATTCATCACCTTGAATATTTCTTGCCATTCTCATCTGGCCTGCATGGTTTCTGTTGAGAAATCAGCTGACAATCGTATAGGTGCTCCTTTATAGGTAACTACCTGCTTTGCTCTTGCTGCTTTTAATATTCTCTCTTTGTCTTTGGCTCTTGGTATTTTAATTATGATTTGTCTTTGGTGTGGTCCTCTTTGGATTCCTTTTGTTTGGAGTTCTGTGCATGAAGCGCCCTCATTTGACCTCCTCAGCTGTCCTCATAGACCCAGCAGGCAGCTGCTGGAGGGCTCAGCCCTCACAGAGGAGAGGGGTTTTTATCTCACTTCCCCACAGGCCTGCAGCACAGTGTGACCACTGGTACTGCTGTCCCATACTGAGCAGTAATAATCGGCCTCGTCCTCAGCCTGCAGCCCCGTGATGGTCAGGGTGGCTGAGCTGCCAGACCTGGAGCCAGAGAATCGGTCCGGGACCCCTGACGGTCGTCTGTTAGTGCCATAGATGACACATTTGGGGGCCTTTCCTGGGAGCTGCTGGTGCCAGGACACATAGTTATTATTCCCAATGTTGGTGCTGGTTCCAGTGCAGGAGATGGTGACCCTCTGGCCAGGGGACCCCGACACTGAGGCCGGCTGAGTCACTACAGGCTGGGCCCGGGATCCTGGAATAGGGGGAGACACAGAGAGGGTGAGTCTGGGTCTGGAGACAAGAGGAAGCAGGGCCCATGAGTCTTCCCAAGGCCCCTTCCCCTGTCCCCTATCCAGTCACCTGTGCAGTGAGCCAGGAGGGTGAGGAGGAGAGGGGCCCAGGCCATGGTGGAGGTCATCCCTGAGTCCTGCCTTCTGAGCCCACAGCTGAAGCAGAGCTCCCCACCTCTCTCCCTGCCCCTCTTCATAGTCTGCGGGAGGGAGGGTCCTTTTATGCAAATGAGACCCCATCTATTTGATCCTCCTTGGGCGCTGGGTTGGGTCTCTCTACCTGAGGATGGCCATTGGTGTGGGTGGAGGTGGGGCAGGGTGGGGCCGAGGTTTGGGGAGTCACAGCTGACAACCCTGAGCAGCTGGTCCTGCACTTTGTCAGTGGCTCTGATCACCCAGATCCCTCAGCAGCAACCCCCCAGCGCCCTCTAGTGTCCAAGCCCAGACACAGCATTGAGTGACATGGGATCAGAACCCATGAGAGACCACCTCTGCCTTCCCACTGCTCTGCCCACTGCCCCTGCCCTAGGCCCAGGCCAGGGGGCCCCTCCCATGGCCTCCCTATCACCTCGGGGCATCTCCAGTTACCACTCAGCCACCTTCAAATGCATGTTGGCCTGGCCACCTAAGTTCCAGTGTCAGGGTTTGATTCCCTGTCAGGGCACATGCCCAGGTCCTGGCTCCGTCCCCCACAAGAAGGATGTACACAGGAGGGGCACACAGGAGGCAGCCGATCCATGATTCTCTCTTATTATTGATGTTTCTCTCTCTACCTGTACCTTCAGTCTGAAATACATTTTTAAATGCATGTATGTTATTATATGTAAACATCACAATAAAGCTCATTTGAAAATTCTAGGAGGGCCGAATCCGGTGTGGCTCAGTGGTAGAGCATCGGTCTGCTGACTGAAAGTTCCCAGATTCAATGCCGGCCAAGGGTATGTATGTTGGTTGAGGGCACATCCCAGGTAGGGGGAGTGCAAGAGGCAGCTGGTCGATGTTTCTTTCTCATCGACATTTCTAGCTCTCAATCTCTCTCCCTTCCTTTTCTCTGTAAAATATCAATAAAATATATTTAAAAAACAAACCACAAATGCTCTTAAAAAAAATTCTAGGAGGAGGCACATTGATGAACACTGCGGGTCCAGGTGTTGGTAGAAAAGCATTGGGAACGCAGTGCCCTCTGCTCTGGGTGGAAGGTGGGAACAGACGTTTTTCTAACATCACTTCCCATTTCAGGGGGAGGAGGGAGCTGTCCGCTGTGCTCTGGTCCTGCCGGTTGGCAATCCCAAATGATGCCCAGGGAACCCCCCGAGGACCTGTTAGGAGCTTCCATCCGTCCCAGGAGCAGCAGCACCAGCCACAGACCCATGGTCACAGCACACGGCCCCTCAGCCTCTGGGCCACCAACTCAGGCCATTGTCGCTGACAACCACCGGAGGCTGCAGGTGAATGAATCAGTGCCATCACCTGGACTCACAGCTGCCACAGCTCCAGGCACAGACTGCTGGCCGCTCTCCGTCTAGGGCACATGTGTCAAACACAAGGCCCGCGGGCCAAATCCGTCCCGCCAGGCCTTGCAATGTGGCCCGCACCGCGCTGTCATCACTGCACTCCACTGCGTTTCCATCACAATGACAGTTTATGACTGTTCAGTAAACCATTCGGCCCGCGATTTAGGCTGGATTTTAGATTTTGGCCCCTTATCTGATTGAGTTCGACACCCCTAGTCTAGGGCGTTAAGAAAGCTGCCATCGACGTCCACGTGCTGGTGCTTCTGTGGACAGAGGATTCAGATTCATTCTTATCATTTTATTTTATTTTTAATTGAGATTTAATTGACATTATATTAGTGTCAGGTGTACACCATGATGATTCTGTGTGGGTGTCCATGCAAAGCCGTCTCCAGAATAATGCTCCTGACCTCTGCCGTCACACTGGCTGCTGCTGGTTCTGAGCTGAGGACACTGAGGTCCAGTCTCTCAGCTGCTTCCACAGACACAATAGGACAGCGCCCCCTGCCGGTCCCCATGCCGCCCGTCCTCCCAGAGCCAGGCACTCACAGCCAGAGTTTCTGCTCCTGGACCCCCTCCTCCCACTTGGACCACCC